TAACTCATCTGTCTCAGAAGTACTTTTCCAAACTTAAAATCAAATTTCATGTTGACTCCTTGCTCTATGTTGCATATGTTACCACACAATTTTCACTAGTTGAAACAAAATGAAGGGTTATTTGACGGAACTGTGTTGCAATTTGGCTAAATCATGGATGAATAGTACCTGTTGGAATGACATGCTTTGCTTCATGGATAGCATTTTCATCTTAATGATAGTAAAATTGCTATCATTATTTCATTTTTGGACTGTGACATGAAGAAAGCATAGCCGTTTCAATTGTACACTGTGTTCTGCAACTTTGCCTTTTAGACCCTGATACTTCAGTTTGTTTCTTATAAGATATGTGTGTGTGCACGGACATGCGTGCGTGTGAATATGCGTGTGCATGTGCATGTGTGCACGTGCATATGTGAGTGCAATTATAAATCTCTGCTTGTTATTTTATGACTTTCCAGAAAGTTGAATTTACAATCAATAATGTCAAAGTCACAATTTTTATCAATTTAACAACTGTATATAGGTAACAATTCTGTTGATTCTTTTGTTAGGAACTAGTCAGTGAAAGAGATGGAAGAATGTATCACATACATCAAACGATAGATAGTGGAGAGCGTCTGTTTCCAAACACATCTTTAGCTGGCAGAGACACTATAAGGCATGACCTTCGGTGAGTTCATAAATAGCAGAAATATGAGAGTTAAACATATTCTTTAAACATTTACCCTTTCATCCTGGTGAGCTAGACAGAACAATGCCAGAGACTAATATTTATGGAATTCCCTTTTAAAATCCTTTAAAAATTTTTTTTACAAAACAAAAACAATTGTACACAGGTCACCCAAATAAAAACAATATATCTTCCAAATTTTGTTAACCCTTTCACTGCTACGTTCCCGGAAATAGCTGTCTGCCCTGTGCTAAGCAATGTAAAAAAAAAAGTCTCTGCTGTGCGCAATACTTTTCTATCCTCCAAACGCAAAAGATGCGTCGGCGGTGAGGGCAAAATTTTGTACACCTAAAAAATTTTACCCTGGGGAGTTGTGTGGTTGGTCCTAGTGGTGACAAGTCAGAGGCACAATGGGGGGAAAGGGGGGGGGGAGAATAATGGGAAGAACTGTTCCCAGTCCGTATCCCAAAATTTGATTGATGAACCTACTACGGCTGCCACTTTAACTCTTTGAGTCCCAGGGGGTTTAGCATCACAGTCCCAGGGGATAGTAAAGAAAGTAATAAAATCTGCGCATCATGCTTTCATTGGGCGTCTAGGTAGGAACCTATGAACGTATGATGCTTTCCTTGGGACTCAAAAAGTTAATCATAGTTATTTGTAGTCATTATGTTATTACATACCAAAATAATAAAAAATATTAATAATAATACTTGAGTCGTCCGTTACTGAAAAGTAGCTGGAACTGAAAAGAAAATTTACAATAATTTAAAAAAAAAAAAAAAAAAAAACACAACTTCGGGGGTTGAACACACGACCCTCCGATTCTAAGGCGAACTTAATACCAACTACACTATGCTACCGCTTGGCGCATTGTGCTGTGTGAATGATAATAATGAATGATGTGTGCAGACTATCAATAATGTGTCTAAGTTTGTAGTCTATCACCACCTGCATGAGCACTGTTGTCTGAGAAATGTTTGAGATTCTCAACAATAGTAAAAATATGTCCCTCAACATTATTTAACAAACAGTCTTTGCTCAAGTACTTTATTTTGAGTTTCTTTGTTCTAAGCATTAGCAGACAGACAGCAAAAAAAAAATGTTTGTCGAACCTGTCTCTGTCCATCGGGAAAGACGAGAATTTTTTAGTGACTGAACTGTTTGAATTTACAGTAGTAGAAATACAGATAGAGCTGGAGTCATCAAAATTATGCACTACTGGTTTCAAATCATCGGTTCATCAAGACAACTGATCAATTTATTGCCATTTTTATGGTGCTTCATTGTCGTTGCTCTCTGATTCCGACGATTAGGACGTCGGACAGGCAAACAGCTCTTTTTGGACACGCCGGTTTCAGCAGTCCATAGCACTGGAGGTCAAGAAAAAAAAATAACGTCCAAATACGAGCATAGCAGCGTACGGGAAATTGGGAAAAGACGTCCATAGCAGCGAAAGGGTTAATGACTGAAACAATATTAATGTCATCAGTAAAAAAGAGGAGGGATCAGTAAAAAAGAGGAGGGATCAGTAAAAAAGAGGAGGGATCAGTAAAAAAAGAATGTAGAAGAGAATTAAATGACTTACCTCTATATGACCATTTAAAAATGTATACAGCTATTATACTTGACCTACAATTGGAACAGGAACTCTACACTCGCTGCTGAAGTTGAGGATAGTCTGGTAGTCTTAGTTTCAGCTTCATAGCAAACGGGTCGCCCCATCTTTGCTCCGCTCCTGTGCCAACAAAAAACACTCAGAATGTTTATCACAGTCCCTTGTGGAAAGATTGACAGACTGCTGTCTCAGCATATCTAGCATACACTCGCATTAAAGCATACGGTAGCCATCCGAAGTGCTAACACAAACAGTCCAACATTAGAAATGCAGTTTATCATTGATTGAAACCATGATTGAAGTTGGGGATGGAGTGGTTATAGAAATGTCTTAATGCTGTCATGTTGGTATTTAACTTACTTTAACATTTCTAAACTTGACCTTCTAGCCCGTATGCCACAAGTGGTAATGGGAAACTATGACATTATCATTTCTATCAGGTGTAGGGAACAAGCTGGAACGTTTTAATGCTTATAGATATCTAAATATGGTTGGAGCTTTAAAAAATATTGCATGTGTCTTCCGTATCTATCACATAAACAAAAGAAGGTAGACTACCTGGCTATATTAGGTAATGTTATGTAATATTCAGGCTTAGGGCATAGTAAATATAATTCTGTCTCCCTATAACCAGAATAAATTATTGCACGTACTAACTTCTGAAAACACTGAGGTTGTTTCATCACACATTTCTTGAGCCAAACACTTAATGCTTGGAAATTTCTTGGAAATTTTTAGCAGCTTCTTGAATCATCAGCACAGTGCTTTGGGCTTTAACTGCTTTCAGATGTTTGAACCAGCTTAATTGGCTTCATTGACTTCATCGAAAGAGTGTGCATTCCTTTCCCTGCCAGTCTCAGCTTTCCTTGTGATATCTCAACCAAGTACTCATATTTATGTTTCTGGATGTTGCTAGCCGGTTTTACTAAGCCAAAATATTCTGCTGTCTTTCTTTGGCTGCTACCTTCCAGAAAATGTCGAAGATCAACTTTTTCCTTCAATGTAAACTCTCAGTATTTCAACATATATACTGAAACATACATCCTAAGGACATTGTCAGAAAGAGCTATAGAAGTAAAGACTGATTTGTACTTATGCTTCATAGACTATACAAAAGCATTTGACTGTGTGAAGCATGAAGAAGTAATCAAACTGTTAGAAAAATTAAACATTGATGGGAAAGATCTAAGAATAATAAAGAATATGTATTGGCAGCAAACAGCAGCTATAAGAATTAACAACTGTTTAGGTACATTTCAAAGCATAAAGAGGGGCGTACGACAAGGATGTGTACTTTCACCTGATTTGTTTTCAATATACAGTGAATATATTATGAGATCTTTAATTGATATGCCCCGAATCGTGGTTGGTGGGCACAATATAAACAATTTACGTTATGCTGATGACACAGTCATGATAGCAACAAGTCAGAAAGAATTACAGGAAATGATAGACATTGTGGTGTTAGAAAGTGGAAGAATGGGCCTCAGTTTGAATAATGGGAAGACAGAAGTAATGGTGGTATCAAAGAAACAAATTATTCCTAAATGTGTAATAAAAGTCAATGGTGTTATTTTAAGACAAGTACAGACATTTAAGTATCTGGGCACATGGATAACATCAGATGGAAGATGCATAACTGAAATAAGAAACAGAATTGGATAGGCAAAAACGGCATTTTATAAAATGAAAAACATCTTGTGCAATATATCCTTGTCATTGAGAGTTAGAAAAAGAATTCTTGCTTGCTACATACATCCAGTTTTAACATATGGATGTGAATCCTGGACAATCGGTAGGCAGGCCAAACAATTTTTAGAGGCCTCAGAGATGTGGTTTTACAGAAGAATGCTTAGAATACCTTGGACAGCCAAAAAGAGCAACCAAGAGGTTTTGAAAGAGGCGGGAGACCGAAGACAACTTATCACTGACATCAGAGGGAGACAGTCATCATTTTTCGGCCATGTTATGAGAAGAGGGAAAATAGAACATGTTGTGACCACTGGAAAGATCTGTGGAAGGAGGGATAGAGGAAGACAACGAGAGAAGATGCTTGACAGTCTTGTTGCATGGCATGGAGGTGTGTCGGCACACGAACTGATACATGCTGCAGGAGATCGCGGATTATGGAGAGGCATGATCGCCCACGCCAGTCGGCAGGGCACCTGATGATGATGATGATGATACTGAAACATCTTAGCATTGCAAACTGTATACATTTTTTAAAGTTCTCAAATAATGTAGGAAAGTTATGTTACTTCAATTTATAAAACAAGCGCAAGCTAAAACAAAAACAGACTTAAAGACGGAAGACTGCCATTAGTAAATAAATTCTGAAAAGTTTGAAAATATATTAACTCTCCTCTTCAGCAGTTCAAAGAGCACTTTCTGGAGTAGGCTTGTATCAAACTCAAGTAAGAACTGTTCAAGTTGTAGAGAACCAGGTGCAGACAGAAGGAGGCAGCCTGTCTCTTGATGTTGCTCTATGGGCTCTCAAAGAGTCTGATCTTAGTACTTCATTTGTACTATTGCACTTTTAATTGGGGCAAGGTACACATAAACAACACAGGTTAAGACTGGCTCGTCAAGTAATTGAGGGTAAATTACTATTTAGAGGAAGACTTCCATAGAGAATGTGTGGGCACTACACGTTCAGCTTCTGAAAGTGATCATTATAGGGACATTTTCAACTGTGATTTTCCAGTATGCATGTATTTGAAAAAATTACAACAATATTTATTTGTAATCAGCAACCTTAAAGGCAACTGGGAAGCTCTCTGTGATGAACTGATTGAGGTTCAGCATAAACTTGAGGTCAACCTCAGCCACTGGTCAGCATATTATGAAAACTTTGAAGACATGCAAAGATGGCTGCTGAATATGGAAGTGAAACTGAAGGAGGACACTGAACTGCAGACTACACTTCATGAAAAAAAATCTAAATTACAGAGTCACCAGGTAATGTTATGATTTCAAAGTTTAGCGTGTAGAAGATGTCTGACAAGATCTCCTACAAATGTGTAATGTTTTTGTTCCTTTGTCAAAACAGTTCTCACATTAACCCATTTCATTTTGAGAAAATCACCATATCTTGGTTAATTATACCTTACATAAACACAGCTTCATGACAATTGTGTGCAGGAAAACTTGTGATGAGAAGCAACTTATGCACATGATTATGTTGGTTATAACATTGCTCACATCGGTTGTCTGGTACAGAGCGAGTTAGGAGAAAACAACTGACTGTGCATTGCCCATTTGGACTACATGTGGCAAACGTAATTGTATTATAGTTTTATTTACAAGTTTCAATACTTCCAATGACCAGTACATGCATTCTCAGTTGTTTGGTATAGAATAATTTCAGAAAAAGGAAATATTTGGTTGTATTTTTTTTAAACTTGGCTTTGGCTTCTATGCTGATCCAGCCTAGGTTAATGCCAGGTAATGTCGAGGAAAGTAAAGACTACCAGCATGTTGTTGACCACGTCCCCCACTGAGTGCTGACTGATCTACAAAAATATAAGTCTAGCATCATCTGCCTTATGCACCTCAGTAGGCAACCGTCAGTCTCTAGGGACCATGGGTGTTTGCCACTGATTGCTGGAACAGTGTCTGCCATGACTGTAAAGTCCTGTGCAAGAGTGTTAACCTCTGCCACATAGACTATATATAATGTATGTAGTCTTATGAACCACTGGCATAAACAAAGTGTCCTTTACCTTTAAATTCTTTTCAATGAATATACAGATTAAGTTAAGTGAACTTACTTATTCAGTTAAACATTAGCAGTAAAACATGTTCAGATCTGATGTATAGGAAAAACTACAATACCTCCTTTTTGTTAATATTTTAAGCATAATGAGATCTCACACAGTATTTAGATATATTCTAATATTAGTATTCACAAGACAGATCTTGCTGAAGTAAGAGGAAATACAGGTATATAAAAATATGACTCTTTATTTTATATCAGTGTAGCTAATCTTATCTGAATGGGTATGTAGTTATTTTACTGTGTGAAAAAATCTTCGTCTTTTTTTAAAACCGAAGCTAAACTGTCAGCACGCAGGTACTTTTGAGGAATATAACACTGTTAATTCCTATTATATACATATTAAAGAGAGCTGGCGACAGTGGTGATCTCTGGGGCAAGTCCAATGGGACACACGGGGCAGGTCAGTTGAACATTTTGACATTAGGACATTTGGATTCCCATACATCATATCAAAGTAATACTGTTCCATCAAAAAATGTTGCAGCAATCCAGTTGACCCATTTTGTCTCTGTGTGCATTTATACATAAACAGTAGTTTACACACAATTTACGAATACATTTATGAAGAAGCATGACAGTTTTCATATACATATATAATGGAACAGTCACAGTTTCTCGGTGCTTATAAAAAAAAAAGCAAAATTTTCTACACATACCTCATGGCATTTTCACTGTTTCCAGTGTATATTTAATGGACAATCACAGGTTTCTTATTCAAATATAATGACATTTTTCCATGCAAACATATACAATTGAGCAGTGACAGTTTTCTTATAATTAAATAATCACAGTTTTTACCCCCCAAAAAAATGTAGACTTTGTTTTTTGTAGATTCTCCACAGGGACATTTTGTCTAGAGACCACATCATTGACAAGTTAACAGAGAAAGCCCATACCCTTACTCAGTCAGCTCCATCAGCCAAGGTAACAGTTCTTGTAAATTGTTTTCTTTTTATTGGTTTATACATAGCATATGCAAACACACACATACACTCTCACACAAATACACATAATTCATTACATATAAAATCTTCACCTTTAAGAAGAAACACACACGTTAATTTGGTATCCACTCATGGCACATTAGTCCCTTTTGAACCTTCAGCAGTGCTGGCTGAGAATCCGACACAATAATTCCTCTGGTAACTGCTATCCAAATCAGAGCTGTAGTGACTGCCTCCACGATGATCCTTATGGAAGAAGTTGTAGATAAAAAAGCTCTGCTTTGTTCTGCCACAATCTTTTCCTTCATTTTAGCTGAAAATCCCCCAGTCAGATCCTACACCCTGATGAACAGAACCATCAGTGTACACTGTTGCATCATCTAGCCCAACCTTGTGATCTATCAGCTGTTGTACCTCTAGTTCTACCATACCGTTACACCACTTTCTATTCTATTCCTAACATACTAATGACCTGATGGAAACTGCTGTTGTTGGTGTTTGTGTCAACCCATTCCTGCCCCCTGTGTATTTGCTTGACTGAGGCTACCAGCTCGATGGGATCTTCAGCTAGTGCCATACATGACTTTTCTATTTTCAACCAGTCTCCTCCTAAATCTTTCATATTGTTATACAGCAAATGCCTTTTGTCATTAGTAAGTCGCATATAGGCCTTGGCTTTCTCCAGTGACAGTCTAGACTTTACTGGTGTCAGCCCAAGCATATACCTCTTTGTTCTAATTGGTGTATCTCGTGTGCAACCCAAAACAATTCTAATTTCTTCATTTTGAATCCTTTCAAGCTTTATACACTGTGAAGTAGATAGGGCCAATACTCCTAGGCCATAATCAATGACTGAAAGAACCAAATGGTTGAACAATAAGACCAATAATCTCTGTTCTATGTGTGTCGCCACTATCATCTTGGCCAGGCCACATTTGCATTTGATCGCAGTCTGCTTGACGTGATATTTGTATGGCAGACTGCGATCAAATGTCAAACCCAAGTATTTCAGCTTATCACTTTGTTTTCAAAATTTATACCCTTCATGGATATGCTAGGCAAGTCTTTGTTTCCAATGCTATATTTAAGGAGCATCACAACACACTGGCCTTCTCTGGGTTCACCCTTGACTATGTCTGTTCACACCACTCTGTCATCTCTTGCAAAGCGCTTTGCAAGTCTCTGGTCATGTTGTGCCTGCCTGACCCGCTTCGATACATTAGGAAATCATCCTCAAATATCAAAGTTTGCCCTGGTCCAGCGGGCTGTGTTTTTGCCAGACTTGCTGTATGTATGTTGAACAAGACAAATGACAGTGGTGATCCTGTGGAAGGCCAGGGCAAATGCGTATTAGATCCAATCAAACAACTGTTTAGGTACATTTCAAAGCATAAAGAGGGGCTTAGGACAAGGATGTGTAATGTCACCTGATTTATTTTCACTATACAGTGAATATAAAATGAGATCTTAAATTGATATACCTGGAATTATGGTTGGTGGGTATAATATAAACAATTTACGTTATGCTGATGGCACAGTCTTGATAGCAACAAGTCAGAAAAAACTACAGGAAAAGACAGACATTGTGGTGGTAGATAGTGGAAGAATGGGCCTCAGTCTGAAAAATGGAAAGACGGAAGTAATGGTGTTAACTAATCAAAGATATTTTTTTTGTAGGTGAAGAACTTTGTTGAGAAATTGAGGCACAAGTATGCTATGATCTGTGAAACCTCTAAGGATGTTCTTGTAAAGCTAGAACATTCTGTGCATGACCACCAGCAGTATGAAATTTCAGCACAGTCTTTCAGTAACTGGTTGAATTCGGCCAGGGAAAGGCTTGAGGCCTGCACAGATCAGTCAGGTGACAAACTCTCCTTGAAGAGCAAGATGGACATACTTAAGGTAAGACTGAAATGTATCAAGATAGCTTGATTAATAACAATAATTAAAACTTCCGTCAAACACACATTTTATTTTATTATTCTACTAGACACATGCACTCTGTGGCATGTGGAGGATTGGCCTCTAAGTTTGGTGATTAACCATAGATATGATGAATAAGTGACCAAGGATTAGCACAGGTGGTGGTCACTGGGGTGAGATCAGTTTTTTGGTCATGCAGATATCTCTATAAAGTACCCTAAAACTGTGACATCAACAATTGCATGTAAAAAGTTCCATAGATAATTTCCACCATCAGCTATCTTGTGTGTGTGTGTTTTTTTTTTCTCTGCTTCAAATAAAAAATAGTAAACCATTAAAAACCATCTGAAGTCAGAGGAACCAACCAGTGTAGTCAAGAGAGATGTAAAATCGGCGCATCGTGCGTTCATTGGGCCTCTAGGTAGAAATCTATGAACGTTTGATGCGTTCCTTGGGACTCAAAGAGTTAAAGGGTCTCCTCTGTGAAGTGGTCAAACCATTTGCCTCGTGCTTTGAGGGTCGTGGGTTTGTTTCACGGCTACATTGTTCAGTTTACAAGTGAAATTTTTATGGAGATTCCTGGGATCATCACTGGAGCTACAAAATTATTCTTTCTGTGATACTCTTGATAGGCAACTAGCAGTTCTGGAAAGAGGGACCAAGCCATATGGTAAAATGCTTGAGGCAATGAAATTTATCCTTTCAACTTTAACCTTCAACCTTTAAAGCCTTCTTTATGATTCCTGTGAGAAACTGCGACAGCTGTAGTTTCCAAAAGGATCTTTGTCTGAACTTGATGTTGAACTTTGGATAACCACTGCACAAACCACAAAGACCTTTCCTCAGTGCACGTCAGTCATCTATGACCAGCCTGGCAGTGTTCTGGAAGTATTTCCTGCCACAAGGAACCTGTCATTGACTTTTCAGCAATGAGAGATGTTAGTTGCATATCCTTTACAGGACGTTACAGAACCAACCCCAGCTGTGAATTTTCTAGGCAAATTTACGTCCAGTAGTTTGCCATTGCTTACTGAATGGTCAACTTTTTATTACCACTGTCAAAACCAGCGCAAGGTAATCAGAAATGGAAAAAAAAACAACGTGTAATGTAAAGTCCTTAATTCTCTGTAGAATACAATATATACAATAGATCCTTACTCTCACCTCTGTCTTCATAAGGTCAGAAGTGGGATACACTGTCTCACAGCTTTGTCATTCACATAGCTTCCCCTTCTGACTACTGTCCACTCGAGATAAAGGGTCTTCAATCTTCTGTCCTTCATTATGATAGTGTAATATGCAGTTTTAAATTCACCCACAAATCTCACAAAATGCTGTAGAATTATGACTAAAAATATTAGTTGATTCTAGTTATAAGTGGCAGCTTGTTCCATCTTCCACATATTCCCTTGTGTGGTAAATTTCACATTCTTCCCCTTCTTCTACCTGCCAGGTTCTGTCTGCTCAATACTGGCGATCTGACCTGCACTCAAGCTGGGTAACCTCATGGGGAGATAATCACAATTAGCCTGAGTTATCTGTTCCTAATGGTCTGGCTAGGAGAAAATTATCTGACACCTCAGTTCTGCAAGCAAAATCTCCAGCCACTAAGTCTGAGCTTTAAATTTTACTGGTGCCACTAAGTCTAGCTGCTCAGTTTTATCTGTACCTCAACACTTTACATCTGGGAAAAAGTCTCAGTCTTTGAAATCACCAGCAGTCCAGGAGAATTAAATAGGTTTGTTCTGGTGACCTTACTTAGATTTAGGATATATCTAAAACCATATTTTTCTGTATACTTTAAAATACATAACTTTATAAGTAGGTTGAGGAAAGACACATTCTGAAGTCACCGAGTGTGTCGTCACACCAACAGGGCTGCTCCTGTCAACAACACCGATTTATTCTAATTGTCTGAAACTGTGTGAGCCATCAACTCCTAATAACACTGGTAGATTTTTTGTTGGTTTTCAATATGTTACTCTACTAGCTTTTGTCCTAATCAGTCAGCTATGCAAACTGTTAATAGTAAGAGTAGTGATAATAAAATCAGAAACCAGATTGACTGCATCCTGAGAGACAATTAATTTTAGAGTGTTTTTTAAAGTCATAAAAACTTGTTATCAAAAGCAAAATATTACACTGATCAGATCTTTGTTTTTGAAAATATAAACAGTTAAATATAGAGCAGGAAACATTTAATTTGAAGATGTGTACATTGCACAGTTAAAAGGATACACATGATAAATTTAGCATAAAAATGAATAGCAGATTTGATACTAAATATTGTATATTTCGGTATAATATGCATATATGCTATATACACACTATATATATATATATATATATATATATATATATATATATATATATATATATATATATATATATATATATATATATATATACCCAGCTTGAGTGCATGTATATATATATGTGTGTGTGTATGTATATCTTCTGCCTTTCTAGCCCCCAATGGAGCATAGGCCTACAAGCAACTCGTGTCAAGTCGTTCTATCCTTTGCTATCACATGCAGCTCTCCCCATGTCCTCCCCATCTTTCTGACTTCATTCTTCAGCTGCCTTCTCCATGTGTCTTTTGGCCTTCCTTTATTCCTATGCCCCTGTGGGTTCCAATGTGAAGACATTCTAGTTATATTGTTATCCTCACTGATTTTCTCAGTATGTTCTCCCCAACACCAGCATTTTCTCTTGTTTCACTGGAGCTTGCTTAGTTCTTTCCCAAAGCTCTACATTAGTTATTCTATCATTCCATTTAATTCCCTCTATTTTGCGCAGGCACCAGTTAATGAATGTCTGTAGTTTATTAGTAATTGCCTTAGTTGTTCTCCATGTTTCCACCCCATACAATAGTACTGATTTGACATTCAATTAAAAAATTTTAAGTTTAGTATTTCTTTTAATTTCTTTTGACCTCCACAAATTCCCTAGGGCTTTGAAAGCTCATCTTGCCTTTTGTATTCTTATTTTAATATCTCTGTCAGTTCCCCCATCTTAATCTACATTACTGCCCAAAAAGGTATACAACTCCACATCTTGGAGTGGCTTGCCATTAGGAGAAACCACATTATTTGCCTGTGCAATGTGCTCTGCTAGGGTTATGGTTTGATAAGCCACACTGCTTTCTGACGATCAGAAAGTTGTTACGACACAGCAGAGACGAATATTGAGTTAGATGCTTTTATTCGCTGAATCACAACATATCATAGGCACACATTCTCCCGTCCTCTTGTTCGTTCTGCTTGGCTGATTCTGACAACCTGGTCAAACTTCTCTCACACTACATCGATCCGTCAGCGTCTTTCGAATAGTCCATCCATCCTTCAACGAAACCTTGTATTCGGTATTAAGACATGAAGGAAGCATTCATATCTCCTCTCGAAACATAACAAGTATTCACAATTCCTTCATTCTCCTCATGAGTCCATTCATACGACCTCTGGCAACCAGGTCAGAACTTCAACTGTCTTACTACCGTCTCTTGGTTCACGTCTTTTGTTCCAGTCCCACACTTTTCTTGTATCCCTTATTTCGCTCACCATGGTATACACGAGACCCACTTATCTCGTTTTTCTCTTGTATCTCTGGTCCTCTGACCTTGTCCTCCCCATCGGGAACTCTCTGGGATTTCCCCGGGAATTCACAACATTACAGCCTGATTTATTCTCTTATCTTTGTCTTTCCTTTATGGATTTTCAGACCTGGCTGCTGTGATCTTGCATCAAGTATTTTTAATTTGTCTTGCATCTGATTCCGTGAATGGGGCAGAAGAGAAATATCATCAGTAAAGTCGAGATGTTTTGTAGGAGTCCAATGAATTCCATTCTTGGTGTTAGCAATTACTGTCTTTATAATCCAGTCAAGAGCCAGTAAAAATAGAGAGGTGAAAAAAGACATCCCTGTCGCACACCTGTTTTTATTTCAAATGTATCTGTTAGCTTTCCCTAATGAAGAACTCAACATCTCATGTCTTTATATGTTGCCTTTACTAAGTTAATAATTTTCTGTGGGATTCCATAGTGCTCCATAAATTTCCAGAGAGATTCCCTATTAACTCTTTGAGTCCCAAGGAACACGTCATACGTTCATAGATTCCTACCTGGAAGCCCAATGAACGCATGATGCGCTGATTTTACGTCTTTCTTGACTACCCTTTGGGCCTGTGATGCTAAACCCCCTGGGACTCAAAGAGTTAATGCTGTCAAATGCTTTTTTTTCATAGTCTATGAATCCAACGTAAAGTGGTGAATTTAGTTCAATGCTTAGCTCTGTTATTATACGTAATGTGGCTATCTATCTGGTCAGTACATGATCTGTTTGGCCGAAAACCTGCCTGTTCATCCCTTAGTTTTTTTATCAATAGCATCTTTAAATCTTTCCAAAATAATTCTAGTTAATATTTTTTTCCAGGAACTGACAGAATAAAAATTCCTCTATAGTTATCACACTCCTGTAGATTTTTTAGGGCAGTTTCACAAGATATCCTTCTCTCCAGTCTGCTAGTATTTCTTCTGTCTCCCAGACTTTACTAAATAATCTATGTAGCAATTCTGTTGATGTGTTTGTGTTGGCCCTAATGGCTTCTGCTGGGATACCATACATATATATAACCCAAATAAACTATCTCAGTGCTCAGATTTAATAATAATTTAACTATGTAAATTATGAAAACTATGTAATCACTGAAAGTGGTGGGATTATGCATGAGGTTTTTGCCAAGTTATATGTAACTGTGTATATATTCTTATTTCATTTAGGATTTATCTTCCACCATCAAAGACGGAGAAAACAAGCTAAACCATGTCAAGAACCTTCTTACTGTAACTACAAAAAACTCTTCTCGTCCAGGACAAGATATTATGCAGAGACAACTAGATCATCTGCAGGGAGAGTGGGATGATTACCTTGCTCACATGAAGTCCACCGAGCTTTATTTGAATAAGACTGTAACTTTGTGGGACACTTTTGATACTCAGCTTGAACATTTGAAGGAATGGCTCAAGAACATGGAGCAAAAGGTTAAGGGTCACGAATTGAAAAATACATTCAAAGAGAAGCAGTCCCAGTTGGAGAAATTCAAGGTAACATTTATGTTTCTTCCTTAAGTCCAATCTAAAATTGGATTTAAAAACGCGATTGTAAAGTTTGTGTCATATTTACTGCTTTTCATAATATATGAAGTGTTAGCCTTTCATATATTCTAGGCCATGACTGTAAGGTGTCATGGCTGGTTCAAGTCCCCATTTTTTTTTCTCCAAATAATTCGCAAATGTTTTAATATCTATATGGGCATGGTTGAGCTCCGGGCCTACTGGTCAGAACAAAATTATCTACCTCTTATTCTGGGTAAACTCAACTTACACGGGTATACTTGTGGGGTTTGGTGAAAAAATCTACACTTCCTATCCTTTTATGGTATCACAAACTTGGAACAAGTCATAGCCAAGGAGTGGCTTCTGCAATACATTAAAGTAAGCTGGTTAGAAAACCAGATAAAATTATAGGATGAAATTACTATAAGGGGCAGGCTCTCTTAAGGACACTCCACTGCTGTTATTTATACAGTAAACGTGCACAACCTATCTGGGTTCCACAATGAATAGTAAACTATCACTGGACCAAGAAATCAACTTCAGGATAGGTAAGGCAGCAACAACAATGTGCAAATTGACAAAGAGAGTTTGGGAGAACAGAAAGCTCACAATTAAAACAAAAACCCTTGTCTATCAGGCTGTGTTCTCAGCACTTTGCTTTATGGCAGTGAAACTTGGTCAACCTATTTGCACCAGGAGAGACGGCTTAATAGCTTTCACATGCGATGCCTAAGAAGAATGCTTGGCATTAAGCGGCAGGATAAAATCACAAACACTGAGCTACTGGAAAGAGCAGGTACTACAAGTCTTTTCCATGCTCAGTCTACAAAGGCTCAGGTGGCTGGGTCACACCTGGAAAATGGAGGATGGCAGAGTCCCTAAGGACATCCTTTTTAGTGAATTAAAGACAGGAAGAAGATGTTGAGGTCAACCTCTTCTACGTTATAAAGATGTATGCAAGCGGGACATTAATGATACAGGTAGTGAGGCGGACTCATGGGAACAAAATGCCATGGACCGTGTTGTGTGGAATACATTAAAGTAAGCTGATTAGAAAACCAGATATCAGGAAGTAAATGAGACTGAAGGAAGAAATGATTGCAGAAAGGATGAGAGCTGAGCATCTGAAAAGAAACGGATTAAGCACAAATGTTGTTAACAATGGTCCTGAAATCCCATGCTATCATACACAATTTTCTTTGGAAGACTTTTCTTGACACGGGCGGGTCTTGCTAGTCACACTCGCCATCGTCATGGGCTGTGGGTCTCTTGGCTCCTCATAGCGCAATATAACACTATCCTCTGGAAAGACGGAAAGGTGCTAATGATGATAAAACGTGCACTAGATGTTTTAACTTATTCCAAGATGTGCTTTTTTTCACACCCACTGAGCAATGTGAAGTGATAACAACAAAAAAATTTAGTCACATATATTTTGGTAACAGTATATAAACATCAGTAAGACACTAAAGCTGTTGCTGTGCTTATTGTATGATATTGTTGAAAATGAATTTCAAATGAGGATTGGATTGTTATGTGAGATTGATCAGTGAGTGATATTAGGGTCGATGCTATCTGTGCTTGTAAACAGAAAATGTCTATATGTCTGTCTACATTTTCAGTCAACCACTAACTCCTCTGAAAATAGTGACCAGTAGATGGGTTAGATTTGCTGATTCAATTCTTGGGTGATTCCAGTGCTAACTTATGGATGTGAGAGCTGGAAAGCAACAGTAGCTCTAGATTAAAAAATTATACAATTTTGAGAACAAATGTCTTAGAAGAATACTAAATCTCCGCTGGACAGATTTTAGATCCAGTACGCAAATAAGACAAGAGACCAAGCAAGACAATTTATCCAGTTTTATAAGGAAGTGCCGCTGGAACTAAACCGGCCATGCACTCAGAATGGATAAGACAAGACTCCCCCATCAAACTCTCATATGAACACCGGAAGGGAACAGAAAATGAGGAAGACCAAGAGAGAATCTACATAGAACCATCATCAGGAAAGGCTCAGTCATGGGCCTAACAAACATCCAAGACCTGAAGCAGGTGACAAGTAGCCAAATATAGAGAGCTAAGACCTCTGCACTATGCGCCGTCAGACCAAGAATAAAGACTAACTAATTCTGGCTGCAGTGTCAAGCTTAACAAAGTGCTTTTTGCAGGAAACGTTCCTATCATTTCTTTTAATTAAGCCACAATCATTAGAAGTTAACATTTACTGGGATTATATCTGTTTTTTCAATGAAATCCTAATCCCTTTAAGAAATTAGTTTGATAAAACTATATTTTTCTGTTATTTATCTTAAAACTTAAGAGTGTCATTTTTGTTAGCTGAGAGGCAAGGAACCAAGTGTCTGCATACAAATAAGCCAGACCTGTTGAACGAATGTGTACGCAAAGTTCAGGTTCTGGAACAAGACCAAAGTCCAGAGGTGGATGAATTACCAGAACGTTCCGCCTATACAAAATGTGCCGGTCTGCCACATTATTAAATACTGGTGTTAGTATCTCAGATTGTAATCACAGTATTCCATAGAGTAGTGGCTATCACATCTACCTTCTTCTTTTTCTTCTTCTCTTCCACCTTGTACCTCATCGAAGTGTCGGGGGGACATGTAACATGTTTTGATGAGCTCTGTCAAGAGCACTATTTAGACTGATGTTCATTTCTTTAAGGCTGTTCTTAATGCCATCACTCCATATTTTCTGAGGTCTTCCACTCGCCCTATACCCATTCTAACCTTTTAGTGTGGCTCCCTGTGGCAGATAATACCAGGGCATTCTTGTTATGTGTCCAAACCACTTCATTTGTTGTTCTTTGATGACCTGTAAGACTAGCTTTATTCCTAGCATTCGTATGATTTCATGTTCTGTCTTTCCTTGAAACTCCTGCAGCTCTTCTAAGCCATTTCATCTCTGTTGTCACAATTTTACTTTCATTGGAGGATGTAAGTGTCCACATAAGGCACTGATAGCATAGTGTTGGCCCAAAAAAAAAATAGTTTTGATAAGATTCACTTTAGTACTCCAGGGTATCAATTTGTGTATCAACAGGGGAGATAGTTGCCCCATTACTTGATTAGCTTTGGCACATCTCGAGCTAATTTCTCTGTCCAGTTTTCTGTTGGAAAATACTTAAATTCCTCTGTTTGTCTTAAGGTCTTCTTTTTAATTTTATTTCTAAATTCTCGTTCTGTCTTCCTATCACCTAGTCGGCTCTGTGGCTAAGTCGATGCGAACGCTTTGCTTTGTAATGCCGGGATGCCGGGTTTGATCCCAACTGCGGGCAATGCGCCTTGCGTTGGTTTTGACAGTATTATCAAGAAAGCTGACCGTCCAGAAAGCAATGGCAAACTACTGGACGTAAATTGCCTAGAGAAACCACACAACAGCCAGGGGCTGTTAGGGTTGGTTCTGCAACGTCCTGTAAAGGATACGCAACAACCTTTTTTTCAACCTTCCTATCACCATTGTCTCTGTCTTTGTAGTGTTTATTTTCACTTTCACTGTTCTAAGCACTTTCAATTGTAATTTTTTTTTTTTTAAATAATAACAGGGTGTCTACAATTAATTATGACTAAAGTGGAAGCTGTGAAAGAGTATTGGTCTTTCCCACTGTGGGCCGTACCATCCCACTGTGGGTGCTGGGGCAGTTTAGGAAGCTTGGAGTGTTAAATTTGTGGGGTGGTGGACAAGACCAGCAAGCGGTAAATCCTTGGGTGGCTTAAGGGCAGTGACTAAACATACTGCTGTAGTGGAGACAAAGTAGAAGTAGAGGACTGAAGAATACAGTACTCTTTCACTATCCTGGGCAAAACTGAGCAATTAAATCTAGTAGTTATATAAACACCACTTTTCACATATATTAACCCTACCACACCGCTGGCCCGCTATTACAGGAATTTGCTAACCTGCCACTAAACCTCTGTCCCTCAATGTGGGGAATGTGCCTACTATGAAAAAAAAACAATGAGTCACAAACTAAAAATAACTAGCCAATCGTAATCAGATCTCATGGATAATCTTCCTAGATATCCGCCCACATGTGTTTGGATAAAATTTGTGTTGTTTTACATGAAAAAATTCTGAAAATTCACAATGAAACGAGCATCTGATGAACCAAGCACTTCGACAGGAAAGTGAAGTAGCTTAGGCTTTTCACAGTCCGACATGTGATCGATACTTTGCTTTATTCAGACTCTGCAGAGTCATAATTTCATGAAGAATACGTTCACAGGTGAAGTGACACAGTCAGTGTGAGAGGTGGAATGATGAGGAGAATCTTCAAAATTATAAATCTAGAAAAAGATCGATAGTAGGAGAAGGGGGCATGTCCCTCAAACAGCAACATCTGGTGTTCACTTTGTGAAACGAGGTTGATCCTGCTGGGTGGTTTAGCACAGAAAGGTGGAATATTGGCTCTAGGTAAAAGGTTAACGTGTCTCCAAGTTTCATCTTATTCTGGCCACTTGTTTGCATGTAACTGATTTGATTTGATTCAAGAACTGACATCACAGCACCCGGGGCATTCCCATAAGCGCTCCGTCTACATCTTCAGCAGCCAGCGAAGAGTTCCGATACTAATGGTGCCAGTAGCTTTCTGATTAAATGTCTGTCTTGCCTTTCCTCTGAGCCTGGAGCTTCTGCCAGAACCTCTCGTCACCCCCAACTGCATCAATCTCACCAAACTGTGGTGATCCATCTGCTCCTCCGCATTGTACACGCTCTCCCACAAGGCACTAGCCACGTTTGCCCTATCATGTAGCAGTATTCCACCAAGTTGTGCAGAGCCAGCCAGTCTGTCCGCCTGTTCATTTCCCAACACACCGGCGTGACCCGGTATGCATGTAACTAATATTTGTGTATATCATGTTGGTTTTTTTGCGTTAATGCCCAGGAGCTCAGGTATAGGAGGCAGTTAGGTTCAGGGCCTGAGGTCTGGTAGGGTTAAATAGATAGAAACCTGGAGACAGTCCTTAACATGATATTCTATCCTGGACCCAGCTTGAATGGGATTACCACAATTGTAGGTCTTCTCAAACTCTCAAACTGTCAGTCAGTTCATGTTCATCCAAGAGCTGAATTAAGCTGAAGAATGCACAATCTGCAATGCATTTACACTACTGAAACATTGTCTTCTTCTGAGTATTTCTCTCTCTCTCTCTCTCTCTCTCTCTCTCTCTCTCTCTCTCTCTCTCTCTCTCTCTCTCTCTCTCTCTCTCTCTCTCTCTCTCTCTCTCTCTCTCTCTCTCTGCCAAAATAAGAGGAGGCTAATGTTGATGCTATCTGTTCTCAACAATATAAAATCTATGTTTCTATCTATCTGTCTGTCTGTGTACATTTTCAGTCAACCAATTACTTCTCTCATCACAGACATTAGAAATAGGCTGCCATTGTGTTATTACTGACATTATATGAGAAGAGAAAAACTAGAACATGTGACATCTAGGAAGATTTTCTTGAAAGAGAGATATATGAAATTAAGCAGCCAGTGTGCGTGTGCGTGTGTGTGCACGTGCGCTTGCGCGCGCATGTGTGTGTGTGTGTGTGTGTGTGTGTGTGTGTGTGTGTGTGTGTGTGTGTAAAAAAGGGGTGAGGTGGGTTGAAAACATCAACTGCTGAGTAGTAAATATTAATATTAGATCAACCAACTTTATCAACAAATCAGATGACATAGATTATTGAAGAGGCTTGATCATATGTCTTTTCAAAACCAAGCACCAACAGAAAAAGGAGAGAAGGGTCAGCTGACACTAGCAGTCTTTTTCCCCCCATTAGACACCACTAATGATCTTAATTGTCTTAATTATAAATGTTTATTTCTTTTATAAAGTTCATTTCTCAAATATATTGTACCTGTCATTGTTTTTTTAATTAACATTTAAAACAAAAATGTTGTTTGTTAAATATAAAGTAAATTATTCAAGAAATCTATCACAGCTGAATGTATTCTCACACAGAAACTGCATGATGAGATACTAAGCTATCAGCCTCAGGTAGAGAAGTTAACTGATGATGCTCACATCTTAATGCAGGCAAGCTCAGATGTCCGACTCAGCAGTCAGGTATCTCAGTTCACCAACAGATACCAGGGACTACTGTCTTTAATCAAGGTGCTTTTTCCCCCCAGACATTTATGTATTTTAATTGTAATACCAGATTGTGAGGACAAATGTATGTTTTTTTTTATTGTAAGGTGTTGCATATGAATAATACGATAATTACATAAGTTGTGCAATCATTATCATCATCATCAGTTTCTACTTCTGCCATTAAGTGTTGTGGGTAGGAATAGTTTGGGATCCATTGCAAGTTGAACTTAGCTTTTCAAATGTTCTTGCAGTCTACTCCCCTTATTGTAGAACACGCACTAATTGTCAAGAGTTGTATGATAGCAGTTACATTTTATATAATTTTTCCTTGTCTTGTCTTCTTAGCATTGACCAGCTGTACACTCTAGTGGAAAGTTCTAGTTGCCTGCTTCTGGACTTTGGTCTTGTTTCAGAACTTGAGGTTATTGTGAACATAATTTTACAGATCTGGCTTATTTGTGTGCATATAGTTGGTTCTATGCCTCTTAGGTGGATGCACTCTTCCAAAGAAAATCGTGTAATTAGTTGCCTTTTACAAGATGCTTGTTTGGCACGAAGCAGGTCTATTCGTCCCCTCTTCCCCTCTCCCTCCCAAAATGGGGCCCTGGAAGCCCACATTAAGATTGTACATTACACTATGAATAGCTTTTTAATTTATAATTAGCTCTTTGAGTTCCAAGGGTTTGGCATCAGAGGCCGAAGGGGTCATAATGTAGTTTTTTAATTGTTTTTTAATTTCACACATGTAACACATTGAAGCAGACCATACTAATTCAGCTGCCATGCACTATACACACATTATACATCAAAATGACCATAATAATTGTATTAGTAATTGAATATTAGTGAATAAACAAACAGCATGTTTAGAGAAATAAGTTTAAAAAAATACAATAATATTGTTTTTATTCACCACCATGGCACTCAAGGAAGACTCGATAAAATATATCCACAGTAACTCACGAAATAATCTGAACCACTTAGTAATGTATCAGTAAAATATAAACTCAATCTGTGCATTAGATTTTGTTCCAGAGAAGCTTTTGGAACACCATAGCAGAGCATCATTATTTGGTAAAAATGAATTAGCGTCCCAAACAATTAGTATCTTCACACAAACGAAGTTTAAATAACGCTCAATTTGCCTGTAATTTTGCAGTTGTTTTCCTAAATAATAAGGAGAATAACACTAGAACTAACTTATACTGAAGAAAATCACCTTTTTCACTAATATTTTTTCTTTGTACCAGCTGACTTAGTTATCGCTGTACACTTTGCGCAAGGCATATATTAGAGCTAAACCTTATCAAAGTTTGACTCTATAAATTACTAAAGCAGTCTACTTTGCAACTTTATCCATCTAGCTTCGAATAATTCTCATACACACATGTTTAATTTACATTTGAGGCTTCTAAAGCCATAAATCATGCTGGCAAGCATGTAGAATACTGCTTGGTGGCCATATTGTTTTCAGACAACACTTAGTAACTCAGTAAACCTAGCAAACATACTATGTTTAAGGCTTTTAACCACATTTCCAAATAAAACTAATGGTCAACATGTATGGTATCAAACATAAACAGTGTTTTAAATGAGTATTTTAAATGTGACGAGATTGATTTTATTGTTCCAAGTTTTAGCTTAGTCTAGCCACATAGCCTTGAAGAACCTCCTAACAAAGAAGATTAGATATTTGAAAAAACATAATCACATCAATTGCTTTTCCAACTGGCATGTACGATCAATATTCTCTACAGTTTACAATTTGCAACAGTATGTATCAGGTAACTCACTCACATCCTGTCATGTCATGACACAAGACTGTCAAGAATCTTTTAAAATTGTCTTCCTGCATTCATTTTCTGTAAATATTTCCAGTTGTCACAATCTGTTTAAGTTTATTTTTTCTAACATGGCCAAAAATTATGACTTTCTCTCTCATTTTTTTCTGTTTAAGGAATTTTGCACATTTTATTTTTCTGTAAAACCATGTCTGATGCAAGAACTTTGTTGGGGGTTTGTTTACTGATTGTCAATAATTTATTCACAGCCATATGTTGAAAAAAGTTTGATTTACTATGCAAAAATTCTTCTGCTAACCTTCAATGACAGAGATTTATTGCATAAGATTCTATTCCAAAATGTTTTAGTTTTGACAAATTATTTGCTTATGGCTGTGGTTGACTGTTGCATTTTCCCCCATATATCAAGCTACTGAGTTGAGTGCATGGCATGATACTATAAGCTATGAATTTCATTAGGAATGCTTTTCAGTTGTGCCCAAGGTGGTTTGTTTTGTGAACTGTAGATGCAAAAAATGGTGATTAGTCAGTTGCCTCAGATCTGGTGCTGTGTCATAGCCCTGTGGGAAGGGTATGGGACTGAGTATAGAGGATAAGACTTGTAACTTCATATGTTTGTGTGTGACGGACCAAAAGGTGCACCAGCGGTCAGCAAGCTGAATTCACGATATGGGGAAAACCCATTATGGCTTGAACACTGGTACTACATACACGTTTTACCCGAAGCTGAACGGAGAGAGGAGAAGAGCGTTGGACATAGACCTGTCAGGCTGAAGACATCTAGAGACATTATAGTTTGTATTGTGTTAGGAGTTGAAAGATACGGACTGTTAGCGTTGTCGTAGTATGTGTTGGTTAGCTGTTAGTATTTCTCGTGTGCTATATAGTACTCTATGGACAGTCGTGTTGGTGTTGTGTCATGCGTAGGTTGTTGTTCATATCTATGGGTAATTAGAGTTTAGCTGTGTATGGTGCTGGCGTTAACACTGCCTACTAATACTTGGATCACTCACCCTGCATGTGCCACTGAGTCTTGCATGGTGAGGACTGCAGTCTAGTTAGCACTGTGCAACAGTGAGGGGGAATTGAGTCCTTTGGTACATCAATGGGAATGGCTCGGGGTGGATAAGTAAATATATATGCTGCAACTACTGGCGTTTCAGATTAGGGACTGTCCATAACTGTTGAGCTTGCTTTAGGTTGAATTGCTGTTTGTGCATTAAAGATTATGTGTGTACTCTGTAGGTGAGTGTGTTAAGTGTGTTCTAGGATAGTGTGTCTGTCACGAGGCCGTACAAGGAGCCGTAGTTCAGTAGGATAGATACAAGGTCCTTGACAATGTGCTTTATGGGATATTTGTGCAACTGCTGATTTGTTGTAAATGCTGCTTGCATTAATGATGAACTGCAATTCTAGAGGCTGACTGAATATACTGGCATTTCCATTTCAGAAGACTGCCTTACATATTTAATGTGTGTGAATACTAACGGCTGTGCCGAAACTAAAAATCGTTACAGAGTGAAAGGGTTAAGTACGTTTGAACTGAATAACCTGTAAACAAGATAATCTACTGAGTGGATTTGCGGGTTGGTTTGAATATTTCTATATATCTGATAGTAAAATCTGCATTTTCATTGCTTTTTATAGTCACAGGCTTTTAAAACTGCTGCATATCATTTCATGACGGCTTTGTAAAATTAACTATTATGTTTTAGGATCTCACAGTGCAAAGGGAAAAGTATGTACAAGAGCATCTGCTTTATGACCAATCTATTAAGGACTTCAAGGAATGGATGACCATATTTAGTCAAAGATTTAGTAATGCACAATATACACAGCCAGACTCTGATCACAAATCTTTGGAGGGGAAAGCTGCCATGATTCAGGTAAAGTTTTATATTGGACTAACTGAATAGCAATTATTTCCCTCAGAGACAAACTTCCTTGAAGCATTGGTGATGTTGAGATTAATGCAGCAAAATTAATAACTGTAACTGTCACTGTGACTACTGTCTGTTTTACCACTTTTTAAAGGTGGCGTAGACATGAGGCCTTGAGAATAAAGTGTTACTTATACTTATTAATAAAGAATGAAAACTACCATGAGAGTTTAAGGTAAATGAAATATTTACTGTTACAAATAAGTATGGACAAATGTCACATGATTTTAAGGAAAAAAATAAACTCATGAAAGACGAAACTTGAAACCTGTTCTTCCACACTCTTTATCTCAAGGGAGCATCTGCCCTCGACCAATATATGTCAAGCTCAGTCTTTGCTGCACCCTGCCAGTGCCTCAATGTCCTCTTCCGTATTAACTTTTGATCTAATACTCCTCTCTGTGTGCTTTTAGGTTTAAATCAATTTTTTAATGCTGAAGTTACAGAGGAAGGATTTTCTGTTTATATATTAATAGGTTGTTCTCATCTGTGACTTTTTCACTGTCAGTAATTTTTATTTTCTCCTTTCAATGTGATTTGTTCCACAAAGCTCCACACTTAATTACATTTTGTATACAATTTTTTTTTTTAAAAAGCACTAGTTAATACATGTTTTGGGAATTTGTTAGTAATTATTACAGTTCTTCAAGTTTTCAACACAAGCAGCGTAAATGATTTTATATTATAATTAGATATATTAAGTGTAGTTCTAGATTTTTTTAAAATTTTCTATTAATGCTCCTCATGCCTTTTAAATCCTTTTTTTTTTTAAACATCTGTCTTTTTCCTAAGGTTTGTGTAGATTGCTACATACATAAATGTGTGATTCCAATGCTTGAAATATCATGGAAAGTAAATGTCATCAGTGTAATATTGATCACATTATTCAACAAGTGTTGATCAGTCTGTTAAAAGAAAATATGGAGCTTCTCTGTTTACCCAGTGCTTAGAAAATAGTCCTGTTCACTTGTTAAATGAATATGTGTTTATTATGAACGTGTGCTTAGAAGTGAATTAGAACATTTTAAGCTTCAGTCAAAACTGAATACATGCATTTAATTTTAAATGTATTGTTAGGTTCCTACAAGCAAACCATCCTTAATTATAATTTTTTTGTAAGGTTTAACAATGATCAGGATCTGTCCTTGGGTTAACATAGCATTCATGGATCATTAGGTCAGTGTCATGTGAAACCTTCAGGTAGCATATCCGGAACCACCAAACAAGATAACATGAAAAATAAAGTAAAATAGCTCTTTATCTTTCATTATCAGCTCTT